AAGTCATTGAACAATACATGGAGACTAGATTATGTAGACGTCAACTATTATTATCCTATTTTGAAGATGTCTCTTCGTCAACTACATCTGATAATGCTATTATTAGACAAAATTGCTGTGATAATTGTACAAATAAGTAGGACATTTTATTTTCAAAATCAAAAATTTTTATTTTAATTAAAATCCGTAATTTCTTTTAAAATTTAGCAAAAAGACTGACAAATTACAACCGGATAATAATATAGATTTAACTGAAGATATACAATTAGTGTTAAAATCTGCACAAGCACTAGGTGGTTTTTTTGGACTAGTGGCAATAGTAAATTTTATTTGTGGTAAAAAAAATGATAAATTATCTAAATATACAGCCCATCAATTGTATGGAAAGGGGGGCTATAACACAGAAACTTTTTGGAAAGCATTAGGTAACTAAATTACTTTTATAATAATATGCCACAGCGTATTATAATTGCGTATTAAGTATTATACAATTTTATGATTATTCAGGAAAATTGTGTTTGAGAGAAAGTTTACTGCAGCAAAACCCTTGCTCTTCATTCAAGGAGGGCAATAAATTTTCTTTTCCAATCAGTACTGTTGCAGTTTCAGACAAAGGATACGAGTTCATAAAATAGTAACATTAAAATGTAGTCTATTAATTATAGCTTATTAATTAAACTGTTTCTTTACTGTTTTGATTGCAGTGGAAAGAAATCAGGTATTTTAATAGACCCGTCTTTGGACGTCTTAAAAATGTTTAAATCAAAATCAGCCATTAAGTAATAAAGTTTATAAACTAATATATTATATAGTTTATCTAATTTTATTAATTTATTTAAGATTAAAAGATGTTTATAAGGGTGATGGTACCTTGGATATAAAACTGAAGAATCTGCATGAAGAAAAAGTCTCCCAAAGTACATCAAGTGCACAGAATTATAGGTCTCAGCAAGCAACTGAAAACACAGAGTTAGAAGTAAATATTTCAATAATGTTGAAAATAACAAAATGTTTATTATCTAATATTTTGTAGAACACAATATACTCAACATTGGTTATGTATAGAACAACATTGGCTCAACAATCGGACTGTATGCCTTACATGATTGCAAGTAATAAATTGTTAATTGATGTAGCAAAATTAAAACCTAAACATGTATCAGAATTAAAAAAATGGTAAAAAAATAATAAATTGTCATTATAAAATGTTAATTTTTATCTTACTAATTAGTAATTAATTTGTTTTTGGCTACTGTTGAAGGGTTTACGGAAGCCAAAATCGATCGTTTTGGTAAAGCTATAGTAGATAAGGTGATAGAAGTTTGTAATAAATATTCAGTGGATTTGAAGACTGAGAATGTAAATCAGTGCGAAACTAAGTAATTATAGTTTATGAAGTTATCTACTTAAATATTGTTTATCTATTATAATTCATTTTTTCTAGTAATTCAAATTCCAGTGTATGTGACGATTTTTGGGATGAATGTGATGATTCCATCTTTAGTGAAATATGTGATACAGATGAATTACAAAATTGTGATGTTGATAGAAATGTAGCAATAAGTGAAGTTCATAGTAATTTAATTTTAAAAAATGATGAAAACCCAACTAAAAGAAAATATTGTGCTACTGAATCAAATGAATTATGTCAAGAAATAATGGCAGAACGCAATAAAATGATGATAAAAAAATTGAAAAATAATTCTCTTTTTAGATTTTAAATGACTGAAATTGTACGTGTTATAATTAATTAGGTCATCATAATATATTTTTCATACCCAAACTATTAGTAATTGTTTTGTTTATAAGGCAACTTTTATTATTATAGAATATTTATTTAATTTTACTTAAAAACTGATGAGTCATTTAATTTTGATTATTTATACTTGGTACCTATTTTTGTTTATTACATTAAAACAATTTGTTTAAATTAAAATATATATATTTTTTTTTATTATATAATTATTCATATAGTTAATGTATTATAAACTAGTATTATATTACGGAGACTAGAGGTCTTTCTGATGATTTTGAGAATTTCTCCCAAAGAATCATGTATCAATAATTAGAATTGATTGTATTATGGTAGATTTAGGGTAACCTGATTGTTGTGATTGTGATCACTAATCATTTTTTTTTTTTATAATTAAATATATTGTCCTATTTTCTTCATATAAATGTTCACTTTTTACTCACTTCGTGTTTTATTTGTAAATATGATTCATTAATTTCCATCTTCATGTTTTAGTTTAATTTTACTCTTCTTGATCGTAAAATATTGCTATTAGATTTTATGTTTATTGTTTATCCAATAAATTTCAACATAACATGATTTTTCAAGTAGAAAAATAAATTTAATTATTAAGATAGTATGCAATACATTTTACATATTAAACTCAGTGGTTGCTTATGATTTTTATGAGTGGAAGTGTAACAGTAGATATGATATATTTATGTATATTATATATCATAAATATTCATAATACTAATACAGCATACTATTTTGCTAGTATAAAAATATTAATCTATAGTTTTTTATTTAAAAACAAATATTTAATCTACATGTTTTAAAAAAATGTTTATTATTTTAATGTTAATAAATAACTCGAAATATTTTGATAATTATACAACGTCAAGAAAGTGAAAATATTAATATTTGGTGAACATTTTAAATTACTAAAATGTGAGGGAAAAATCTACCCAGTGATAACACTATACCTTTTGTTTTAATTTTTTTTTACTGTCTTTATTTATTTGTAAATTACTCATTAAAAATATCTACAACAGTTCTTTTTCAATCGGCGCGGGGGGTTTTCAGGACATGAATATAATGAATTTATCATCCGTTTGATATGTTCAATAATCGAAAGAGAAAAGTTTGAATATTTTTTTGTGTTGGGGTGGTATTCCATGTTGCAGTTTGAATTATGTTTGTTAACTTATTTATGGTATACATTTCTTAACTAGATCTAAGACTAATCTTTAAATCGATGTTCTAGTCGACTAAATCGTGGAATTTTCATCGATCAGTGTTCAGATGATCGTTAAAATTGTTTAGAGGTAAACGAATGTATTGGCGGAGAAGCACCGACAGTCAGAAAAACAGCTAAGTGATCTAAACTAAGTTTGAAAAGAAAACAATCGTGAGAAATGTATTGGAAATATAAGTAATCTAATTTATCTGGTTTATTGTGTATAGAGGTGGGCTGGTATGTTGGTCTAGATGGAGCAAGAATATGATTATAATTTATATATTTATATTTACAATAAATTTACTAAAAACTATTTACAATAAAGCTCGATTTATATTTATAAGTTTATAATTTAATTACTTTTTAAAACAATAAATTCATTAAGATTAAATAAGTATTTTACCAACTGTGTAGCGTATTTTTCGTCATAACTTATATTATAAGTGACCTGTTGTGTTTATCGTACGACACTTTTTAAGTCCCTTATATGTAAGATAATATATTAGATATACTTTAAAATTTTAAATAGTTGATTAAATATAGTTATAATCAAATTATAAATAGTAATATATAATAGTTTTTGTATGTATAAAAATACAGCACACATAAGCATTCATATAGGTACGTAAAATCAAAAAATTAAAAGAATTAATTTAGGTTTATATGAGTGCTGTAGTACCTATGGTTTTCTTTTCTTTTTTTAAATTTTTTATTTATATTTTTCAATTTAAACGGTGATTCTTTAATGCCATTTAAAATTAACCATTTGCTATGTTGTAGGTTTGATTATTTCTGGTAATAAACAATTCATATAGTTCTTATAGAAACTAAAAAAAAAAAAAAAAATAATGAATAATATGTATTATTTATTTTCTACCTACTTATTGCATTGGTATTTAAAAATAAAATATCTCTTACCTTTCTTGTTGCTTAACTATTTTTGTGACCAAAATGAACCACCGTAATAAATTTTCTGAGTGTTCTACAAAATAACAACATTTATTTTGATAAATGTGTATTTGACTTTGCTCTTGAAAGTAATATTAACTGTCTGGGACATTTTATTTTCTACAGTTTAGCAATAAGGCAGCTAATTTTTTTTTTTTAATAAAATTAAAATGTTTTAGTCAATAGTAGCATTTAGGTACAATGGTGTATAGGTTTCATTAACTTTTTGTTTAAAATAGCTTCTACAATGATAGAAAATTTTTTGCATTAAGAGGACACTTTATTTCTACTAGCTCGTCTTCTTGAACTAAACCATCTAAAATAATGTGCACACTTTTTTTTACGTAAATCTAAATCTATATTATTTATAGAAATACAAAAAACCATTTCCATTTTTTTTTTACCAAAAATCGTATGTGTGTACGCAAACTCACATCATCATCTGCTTAGAATCCAAAATTGTATGCTTTTTTTCAACAAAATGATTTGCAAATTTTCATTTTTGACGTACAAATTAAAAAAGTTTGTAAATTTAAAGGATCTAAATTTTTCATGACTAGAAAATACAAAAAAAATCTAAACTGCAGGTATTTTTGTTATCATTTTTTGTTTTGTTTTTTTTCTACAGAAACAAGTAATGTCAGTCGTCAGACGTAATTGAAAATAACAACTTTTGGGCTACGTCAGCTATGATAAGTTTTCGTTTATACGTAACAATAAAAACATTACAACTATTGTATAATTGACTACTTCAGTGAAGGTAAACATATTTTAATATTTACCTATTAATTGGTAAAATTTCAAACCAAGCATTTTCACGCTTATTTTAGGTTTTACTCTTCAGTTACTGCATACGCTTCTATACTAGTAGCTTCTTTCGTCCAGCTCATAAAACATACATGTTATAAAGCGGATTAATTACATATATTTTTAACTCGCTCGCAAATATGAAATAATACAGTATCTATCCATTTCTGATGTCAATAAATAATATTCTTTTTGTATGGAATCCAATAATTGTCACTTGAATTAAATAAATAATGAGTATAATATGGTATATTAATTAAATTAAAATTCTAATTTTATCGCTACTAACAAAGTATTATATTTGGTCTTATAACATCGTTTAGGTAATCCATTATCCATTGCTAAGATATAGGTAGAGTATGTCAATTGTGACTGATAAATTCAGCTTATAGTGAATGATCAGTTCCAATAGCAATTATCCCGCTTATAATTTTCTCATTAATTGCTAAAAACGTTGAGTTTTATTTTTCAGAATGAATATTTTATTTTTTTATTAATGATATCCTCGGCAACATGGGCCATTGGGTTTACAGTGAGAAATTTACATTAAGAAAGTTACATGTATTGTATCTATATCTAAATTATACTAGATTTTGTTTAGAAGATTGGCGGCTGTGATGAATTGAATGATGTTTGTAATGGATTGAGGATGGTTGTTTAATATTTCTGATATATAGTGATGATTCGGGCAGGTTGTAGCTTGTTCGGGTATTGAGATATGTTCGACAATCGGTGAGGATGTGTTTGATGGTTACTTGAACACCGTAGGTTGTGCATATTGGCGGTTCTTCCTTGGACATTAGAAAACTGTGAGAGATTTTTGTGTGTCCGATTCTCAGTCTGGTAGTTATTACTTCGAATTTTCTATGAATTTTGAAGGGAAATTTCCAATTGTCGGTGTTGTGTTTTATGTGGTTTAATTTTGTGTAATAAGATGTCCACTTTTGATGCCATCTTTGTCGACAATCTTTTGTTATAAGTATTCGTATGTCACTGGAAGAAATGATTTGTGTGGACGATTATAGAGGCGATGTGATAGCATTTTTGGCTGCGAGATCAGCGAGTTCGTTTTCTTTTATGTTGGAATGTCCGGGGATCCAAAAGAGTTTGATTTTGATGTTATTGTGGTACCTATTGTAAGGTGTAGATTTTGTTCTGAATATGTAGGCCAATGTCTGATGGATTATATGTGTTTTTTATATTGTTGATCGCGCTAAGGGAGTCGGTGAAGATAATGGTGTCTTGTAGGTGATGATCGGATATTATCTCGAGTGCTTTTAAAATGGCTATTGATTCGGCTGTGAAAACTGAGTAGGAGTTGGGAAGCTTATATAAGAATTCCGCGCCATTCCAAATGACTGCAGCGCCGATATTTTTTATAACATCATACATAGTACATTTTAGCTTATAATTTGAAATTTTCCACGATTAGTTTAACATAACCATACTGACGTCTTTTTTCTTCTGAAATAAATATTTTATAATTATTCATTTATAACTACACGCATAGTACATATGAACAAAAACCTGAATGATTTATCTATACACGTCTTACTTCCAAAACTGACTGTATAATGTTTCATTATTTGAACCAAAATGTAGAATGTCCAACATATTCCTTAAGTTTTAGGTGTGATGACGTGATGAGGTTGTGGTATAGGTTTCGTTGAAGACATTTTAATGTTAGTCAACTTCGTAGTAATTAATAACAAGTAGTAATAATATGGTTAGGTTGAATACTGTTTTTTCCATTAGCTAATTAGATACTTAAAAAAATGTGATATATTTTATAATACAAATTTAAGTAATAAAATGAAATAGAAAATCTATAATAATCTAAAAAGTTAAACTTACACACACACAATATTAATATTGTTAATTAATATTAAAATTTTAATTATCATTAAATATTTATTTAAAAAAAATACCCATTACAATATTTTTTAAGCTATTATTATATTTGATAACATTATTAATGATATACATTTCTAACACTCAATAATATCCAATTTTTTTGTAATAATGTACTAAACTATTATGTTATACATCTGCATTAGTTGTTAATTGTTTTATTTTGAATGAATTCATATTTATTATTTTTTTTTTTTTTAACTTTTTATTTTAAAGCGTACAATCTGTAAATAAATTATTACAATATATAAGTACGCATGCGGAAATATATAATATAGCTTGACATAAACGTGATAAAAGCAGCCACCCAATGGCAACACTTTATGACATGATTAGAATTCATATTACAATTTTAAAATATTATTACTTATCATTTTAATAAAACTAAGATTTAATAATTTTATGCATGTTAATTAATTTAACATTGATCTAGTGGCCATTTAAACATAACCAAAAGAATATTGTTAATATTATTTAAATTTAACTTAAACATAGTTAAAGTAGGTACTATTAATTATTATAAGTAATTTTAACAAAAATAAAAGAAATGTATGTAGTTTATATCTATTTCTATATGAGATTTTTTTTTCATCAGACTTTATACATAAACTCATAAATTCTAGTTTTTTAGTACATTTTTTTATTATTATTAAATTACGGAGTATATAACTATAAAAAATATATTATGATTAAATAATAATAAACTATTTGTCATTTAACATATTGATCTACTGTTAATAAGTTAGAGCTTTTAATTTAAACAAATCAAAATTAAATATTTATAATTTTATTGAAATAAAAAAATTATTTTATCGTTTTCATATACTTAAATAAAAAAATACAAATAAAATACAATTAATTACCAATAAGTTATTATCAATTTAGCATTCTTATGTAATATTGGAGTTTTAGAATTTTTCCAGTTTAATATTTTCCTAATTTTCTTCCATAACTTATTTTTATTAGAATAATTTAAATTTAATTTATCTATGAATTCTTTTTTACTTATTGTCAAAATATTTTCAGCTATATAATTATCTAATAATTCTGTTATTGCTTCTTTTAAATCATCTAATATTATATTTTTATTTTTTAGTGGCAATGGCTCAGGTATATAAGATTTTAAATTATACATTTCTGTCGATTTATTTTTTATTAAATCATTAATATATTCAAAAGGTTCATTTATATTTTTTGTAACTAGAGGTATTAATTCTAATAAATATGAATAATGAATATAAAAAATTTCTTTATTTTTATTAGGTCTAAAATTATCTAATAGAGTATGTATTAATTTTTCAACTTTTTCAACTTCATAAACTTCTTCAAAGTAACAAATATAAAATGGATCTTGCGAATTACGTGAAGTGTTAAAATCAGATAATCTTTTTACTAAATTATCAGTTCTACCAATTTTAAAACAATTTTTATCAGCATATATCTTTGATGTCGCTATATATATATATCCATTTTTATCATATATTTTTACTTTATTTATAAAATATTTCACATTTTCTTTAAACGATTCTAAATTACTAATTTGCTCATCTTTTATCTTTAGTTGATTATTAAAAGATTCTTCTAATTCTGAAATTGTTATTTCATATTTTAATTCATTTTTAAAATCGGTTAATATTTCTTCTAGAGTAATATAACAATCTTTTATTTGTTGTGATTTTTCTGTATTTATTCTCATTATAAATGATTTAAAATTTCTATTACTTAATAATATCCATGTTTTTTCTTTTAAATCATCGGGTGTTAATTGAATAATTTCATTTTGAATATATTCATAATCATTAGATAAAGGATTATCACATTTTATTTCTATAAATTCTACATTACAATCATTTAACATTTTTATTAATAATTGTATTTTATTGCCTCGGTTGAACTCAGGACTATAATCTATGTCCATATACCCTGGCCCATCATGAATAAAATTTAAAACATCATTAGTTATTAATATATTTTTTTTTTCAAATAAAGGAAACCATATATCATTAAACCAATTTCCCAAATTTAAATTATATTTATCATTTTTTTTTTTTATAAATTCAAATATATTTATTTTTTTTTCATATTTTTTTTAAAAATGATAATAATTTACTTTCTTTCTCATTATTTTCTTTACAGATTTTTTGAAATTCATTTAAACTATAATACAGCGTTTCATCTGTCTTAAAAAAAGGTTCATATTCATAATTCAATATATTAAATATATCTTTTATATTATATTTATTATCTTTCAATTCTATTGCTTTATTTTCATAATTAATATATTCCATTTTATATTTAGTATATTTTAATTATTTTGGATTTAATAATGAAAAAAAAAAAATGAAGATTTGACAATTACATAGAATAATTGCATAACAATTAATCTTATTTTTGTCAATATGTAGTGATAATTTAAACCATAGTATTATGTAAATATTTATTAATTATTATTAATTATATTTAAATGTTTAGTCATTATTGGTTTACTAAATACTGAATATAATATATATGTATTATGTATTATAAAAGATAATAATTATTCATGTTTTTAGATTTTATAATCCATTTTATTACTTTATGATGAATTTTACAGTAGATAATTGTATTTAAAAATAAATTTTTTTCGTAAAAAAAAGAAATAGACCTCTTTTGAAATTATACCACTGAGAAATTTAATCGAACACAATAGATACCCTGAAAGTAAGAATAAAAAATATTAATTAATTTAATAGTTAAAAATAATAATTATTTTTAATGCACACTTAGGTACTTAAATTACATTTGATGACTTGATGTATTTACTAACGAGATGCAAACAGATTCACATTATTGTTTGTCTCTGTCGCACAAGTGCGTCTTATTTTAAATTAAATTTAACATTCTTAGTTTAGTATTGTTGATATAAATATATTATAACAGAATAAATTGAAGTAATTTAACTAAACGTAAAGGTAACGATACTATATTTATGTTATGATGTATTGATTAATTCGATATTCCGATTCTAAGAATGTTCATTACACTTACAAAAAACTGATAATGTCGTCAACTTAAGTTTGATAATATATACATTCATTCTAATATTAAAATTAACGAAAATAAACGTGAACTGCTGAAAGTAAATTTGGTACACATTGGTAAAATTAAGACAATAACATAATAGCTGGTTTGGTCGTAGGTACATAATATTATTAGTTATTACTTATAAGTTATTAGTTTATGACCATTGATTAAAAAATTTCATACTATATGGAAAATAAACCGTGAAAGTAAATCAAATAAAAAAAATCTTTACCAGATAGAAAAGCTCAAATTTTAATAGAAAAGAAGATAGTGTATTAAAATATTAAATCGACTACATATAGGTCACACGAGGTTACTCACGAATTTCTTACAGGCTACAGCAAGGAAGGAACCTACCAAGAAGTGCACCTACAACACATTTTAACCTGATGCAACATATTATATAATATGAATTATAATCCTTACTCCTCACAGTTTCTAATTCAACATTGGTTATTATTTGCTTAATGTCTAACTCGGACCAGACCTAAAGAGCCCCAAAAAATGTTAATTATTAAACAGAGAAAACATTTAAATTATAATAATGGTTACGTAGAATGTAATTAAGATTAATAATAATAATAATAATAATACTCATAGTACTATTAAATTTAATATATTGTAAAACTTATATATTAGTAACACAAACTCACTTACCACCAAGCGTCAATACCGTCAAATCCTCGACTGAGTAAGATTCACAGTTGAAAAAATCTAAAACAATTTAATTTATTTGATGAGGAATACGTTATCGAGTAGTGTTATAGTGTGGGAAGGAAGTAATAATCTGCAAAATGGAAAACAAGTTTGAGCAATAACGATTTGCGATAACTATGCAAATTAACATTTTATATAATTCGTTAAATCACATCACTTATGCATTTTGTAAACTATTTTAAAGATTGTAAAATAAAAATATTTTAGAACAAAAAAAAAAATATATATATATATACATAATTTGTTTAAATGACAATATTAATACATCATACATTTTAATCTGGAAGTATTTATCGTAAATCTATCGAGGATTTATCAAATCCCCAGTTTTAATAGCATTTTAGCTGAAAATTAGTATTTATTAGTTTTGCCAATTTCTATGTATTGTAAAAAAAAATCTATAATATAAAAATAATAAGGATTATTATTTTTATAAAATTCAATACAATTGTCATTTTTTAATGTAGTTATTTGACGTCAGTTTTATTAAATCAATAAATAAAAAAAAATATTTACAATTTTTTTTTTTCATTTCATAATTTTATTATTGTTGTTTTTGCCAATTGTATTTATATTAGTCCTCTTATTATTATTATTTTTTTATTGAAATAAATAAGCCGTAATAGCAAAGTTTATTATATTATTTAGATATTAATATGCTATAATAAAATTGTGTTGAATTAACAAAGAAAAGGGAGACATGAGTTTTGTGTACAATAATGGTCCATGTTTGGCTAGTTCAAACTTTAGATAAGGTTATTTACAGTCAAATTCGCTTATAACGAGCTTCAAGAGACCCAGAGAATCTGATTGTTATAACCAAACTTCGTTATATCCGGATTATAAAAATTAACTACACATAAGATATTAAACCAACCAAATATACATTGCTTGGAATCGTTTTACCCGGAAAATCGTTATATACGGCATTGTAATAAGCGAATTCGACTGTAATTTAGTTAATTTTAGGTAGTTAAATATTTTTTCAATGTTGTCCCTGGGCTTTAGGCTCCTCTTATTATTGCATACGAGTTAGTTTGTATTTTTAAATTTAATACAAGTGAAAACAAAAATATATTGCATAATACCCCATTGTGAACATTGTGATTACTGATTATTATGAGTTCAGTTTTG